CTCCAACCTAAGAGCGATGGCCTCCACCCTAGTAGCAATGGCCTCCAACTGCACGCGTCCCTTTTACTATCTCTTTTTGCTTCAGCTTCTCTGTGACCAAACAGCTAGGGCTACAGCTCTGTTTCTGTACCCGCCAGACAATGATCGAGCGGAACACATGGATTGAATCCGTTCAGTCCACGCAAAAGCTTACTTTCAATCTCAAAGACAGGATGAGAAAAACAAAATATACAATCTCTATCGAAGCAAAATATTTTATCGAAAAAAACAGCCAACGGTTCTTTGATCAAAAATGATGAAAGGAAGTGAGGGACACATGCTCACAATCCTTCAACAGGAGTTGCTACGATCTCACACGTCATCAATAGGAGTTGCTATGGCCTCCAACCTAAGAGCGAAGGCCTCCAACCTGAGAGCGATGGCCTTCAACCTAAGAGCGATGGCCTCCGACTTAAGAGCGAAGGCCTCCAACCCAAGAACGATGGCCTCCAACCTACTAAGAGCGATGGCCTCCAACCTAAGAGCAATGGCCTCCGACTTAAGAGCGAAGGCCTCCAACCCAAGAGCGATGGCCTCCAACCTAAGAGCGATGGCCTCCAACCTAAGAGCGATGGCCTCCAACCTAAGAGCGATGGCCTCCAACCTGAGAGCGATGGCCTCCAACCTAAGAGCGATGGCCATCGACTCAAGAGCGAAGGCCTCCAACCCAAGAGCGATGGCCTCCAACCCAAGAGCGATGGCCTCCAACCTAAGAGCGATGGCCTCCAACCTAAGAGCGATGGCCTCCGACTTAAGAGCGAAGGCCTCCAACCCAAGAGCGACGGCCTCCAACCTGAGAGCGAAGGCATCCAACCTAAGAGCGATGCCTCCAACCCAAGAGCGATGGCCTCCAACCTAAGAGCGATGGCCTCAGACTTAAGAGCGAAGGCCTCCAACCCAAGAGCGATGGCCTCCAAGCGAAGGCCTCCAACCCAAGAGCGATGGCCTCCAATCTAACAGCGATGGCCTCCAACCTAAGAGCGATGGCCTCCGACTTAAGAGCGAAGGCCCTTAACCCAAGAGCGATGGCCTCCAACCTAAGAGCGATGGCCTCCAACCTAAGAGCGATGGCCCCCGACTTAAGAGCGAAGGCCTCCAACCCAAGAGCGAAGGCCTCCAACCTAAGAGCGATGGCCTCCAACCTAAGTGCGATGGCCTCCGACTTAAGAGCGAAGGCCTCCAACCCAAGAGCGAAGGCCTCCGACACAAGAGCGATGGCCTCCAACCTAAGAGCGATGGCCTCCAACCCAAGA